TGCAGCGATAGAATGTTCTTTAGTATGTGCCAAATTGCTTTCTAAGTGGCTTAGTTAGGCTAAACCTATGTTGTGGTAGCTTACTATGAATTGACCCATAGTCATTTTAGATTGATCTATTATCTATTCATTTTTACTTGTCTGCAGTCAAAATAGTGACACGAAAGGGCTAAACGGCTTGCACCAAGGTGCGACCGTCAAAAAGATGAGTTTGAAAAATATACATTTTTTTAAATAATACTTGTAAGTATACAAAATAAGATGCAAATTTGATATTGATGTGTAATGATAGTCCATTCGGATGTGGTAATTTTGTGAAAAACAATTATGGTAAAAAATTGGATATTTATGACCTTAAAATACGATTTCAATTAAAAAGTTACTGTTGTCAAGGATATTATTCCTATTTTATATAGTCAGTGTTTTTTAAATATACCAATAACCATTTCATTAGTTTTTGACAAAGTAAATAATTATAGGGCTCACACAAGGATCAACTTTGTTCATAGCATTTTCATATTAAGTGATGTTTTGAAAAAATACGAAGGTAAAACTCAATTTTATTTTTTATTTGTTGAAGAAAAAACAATTATATGTTTCTTTTCTTGTTTCGACTGAAAAATCTCAATTCATCGCCCTTGCTTCGCAAGCAGGAGAGTCTACACCAGTACGAAAAAGTCTTCAAAAAAGTTGATCCTTGTGTGAGCCCTACAATTATTTACTTTGTCAAAAACGTATATAATGGTTATTCGGATATGTAAAAATCATTTAATAGGTAAAATAGGAAAAGTATCATTGACTTTTGATTTTGAATAAAAAAGTATTACGAGCATATAGTGCATCACTTAGTTTATAGCTTGCAGACAGTGATGTTAGAGGCATCATCTTGTAGTAATGGGTGTGACAGTGATGAGACGGGAATTGATTTTATTAATGCAAGTTTTGACAATCCTAGTATTGATGGTTTATCTTACGGACGTCATATTAAAAGATACCAATTTGCATTACATCAACATCAAAGAAGTTTGATTTGTTCACAGATACGTGTCAGAGTGATACCTGTAGCAGTTGCACTAGATTGATATACAACAAGATATGTGTGAGCATTCATTGCAACATTTACTTAAGAGTTATAATTTTACTAAATCTGATGAATGATTAGATAATTTAAGTCTATCTCTTTTGGTTTATTCAATTTGAATAGTACTTTTGCAATAAAGATACCTTAGTTTTGAAACATTAGCAGCAATTTCATTTCAAAAAGATCAGTTTTCAACTTCGTACTATGTTTTGTTCATAAAATGTGTATTCAACATAGGTCAAAAGTCAGGGTAATTTCAAGTTTAAAATATCAATATCTAGGATAGTTGGCATTTTAAGACATTTTGCCGATGGTGTGACCCTTCACAACCGATGATTATGTGACCTGAGGTAAAGATCAACTGAATGGGTGTAGGTAATTTCAAGGTCAATATCTAGCAATTTGGTGTTTTAAGGCAATTGAGAACAATTCTGACCCTTGACAACCGATTATTAGGTGACCTGTTATCAGGGTCAAGGTCTATAGGTCAAGATCATTTCAAGGTCATCAATCTCTAAATATTTGGCGTTTTTGGGCTGAGGTTACCCTTTGTGAATCATGAATGTGTGACCTGAGGTCAAGGTTATTTCAAGGTCAAATATCAGTATCTAAGTATTTGGTGTATTAAGGCCCTGGTATCTGCTGTGGCCCCTAGCGACTCATGATAGGGTGACTTCCAAGGTCAATATCTCGCAATTTTGAGTTTAAAGGCAATTGAGAACAATTGTGACCTTTGGTGACCAATGATTAGGTGACCTGGTGTCAAGGTCATTTCAAGGTCAGTATCTAAATAGTTGGCAAATGTGGGGCTACAGTCCTATTTAATGACCAGTGATAAAATGACCAGAGATCTATAAGTCAATGTTTATGGATCAAGATCATTTCAAGGTCATAGCTCAATATCTAATTAGTATTTGGCGTTTTGGGGCCTGAACATGTTTTTGTGAAAACAATATGATTTTTCTTATGTAAAGTCCCTGTGATAAAAATGATATCATCCAACTTCTTCACTTGAAAAGAAAAAACATCATGAATCCCCCTCAACCTTTATTTTTCAACTTATTTTTTATGATTTCATTCTCGTTTGATTCCTTGACAACTTAATGATACACTACATGATTTTATTACTATATGTACGGGTATAAGCATCAAATGTGGTGCCACCTGTTATTAATAACATTTGTAAACATAATGCTTGAATGTATCAATAAATTGAAATTGAAAATATAAATATTTGAAAATATATCTGAAATATTATTGATAAGATCCCCACCTTGTCACTTTTTGAAAAATATTAGGCTTATTTTCTAAAGTATTTTTTCTTAATTCAAATATATCAAAAGTTCTTCTACGCTAATGAATTAACAAATTCTGAAAAGGGGACGGGTATTGAAATGCGATAAAGTTAAAAACCACAAGTTCCATGTTATTTTCCATTGGAAAAACTCAAACTATCCATTGTTTTCAACATAATTGTGGTCATTGAAAATTGATATCTCCAAAACTAGACTTTCATTACAATTCTACTAATGAAAAAGTTTTAGACCACTTGTTGAATAATATTTTCATGCAATTCAAATAAAAAAGAAGAACCTCTGTTGAGTAAATAATTTCAAAAAAATGTTGAGATGGGTTCCCCATTCATATTTTTTTAGATTGTTTGAATGATATTTTTATAATCATTGAGAATCGAATTTTAATATTGTGTTTTTGAGAAATGTCATATTTATATTGAGAAAGTAGTCATGGTAAAATATATGACGATCAGATATCACTTGCCATACTATACCTGGTCCTTTGCCAATTTGAAGTGAATTGTAAAATCATATCAGAAGAGAGGACATCCAAATATGAGGTCATTAGTTTAATGACTGTAATCAGTAATCAACAGCCACGAGAGTTACTTTCTCTAGTAATTCTGAATTGGATCAGTATTGTATTGTTTTGTATAATATGACCATTTAATTCACACTAGTTTCTTCATATGCCTGGACTAAAACTAAAAAATCCCGAATCTGTTTGGGTGAAATAACCAAATGTGACCAATAATATGAGTATATTTGAGTATTGTCTCTTCACTTTCCAGTCAAAAATGTAAGATTTAAAAATATTTTTACAAATAATTGCAGTAAAACATGCAAAATATAATGCACATTGGTTATTGAAATGTAAAGATAGTCCATGAGGGTATGGTTATATCATTAAAAACAATTATGGTAAAAATTGGGTATTTCTAACCATATAATGCTTTTTATTCCAAGTTCAAAGACATTCTTCCTATTTTACCTCTGAAATGATTTTCATACCACCGAATAACCATTATATCAGTTTCTGGCAAAGTAAATAAGTGTAGGGCTTACACAAGGATCAACGTTTTTTAAGACTGTTTATGTACTTGTATATCCCCTGCCGTTCTTAGAGGAAGAGCAATGAATTGCGATTTTTCAGTCAAAACAATGAAATAAACACACTCTGTTTATTTTGTTAAACATTTAACAAATAAAATTGTGTTTAACCTTATATTTTTTCAAAACATCACTAAATATGAAAATATTGCAAATAAAGTTGATCCTTGTGTGAGCCCTATATTTATTTACTTTGCCAAAAATGAATATAATGGTAATTAAAATATTTTGAAAACATTGAATAGGTGAAATAGGAATATTATCATTAACAACCATGACTTTTGAATAAATATGGTATTTTCAGGTCAGAAATATATAATTCTTCACAATTATTGTTTTTTATAAAAATGGCCACACGCAAATGGACTATCATACTTATTAATACCAAATTTGCCTCCTATATTGTATACCCATTGCTATTATTTGAAAAAAATAATTTTTTATCAAACTCATCTTTTTGATGGTTGCACCTTGGTGCAAGCCGTTTAGCCCTTTCGTGTCACCTTTTTGAGTGCAGACAAGTAAAAATGAATAGTTGATGGACCAATCTATAATGATAATGGGTCACTTCATAGTAAGCTACCACAACATAGGTTTTTGTGATTTTCTGGGGTTTTGGCACACACTACTTCTTTTCAGTTAAGAAAATATTCTAGTTTCTATTTTCGATGACCATTATCGGCTTCCAAGAGCCTAAAGAGCTCGAAATCGCAATCCATTTTCTCCACATTTTCGTTGTGATCGTATTTGGCCGCCATTTTGTACGATTTGTTCACTTAAAACGACTTAAACACTGTTTAAATTGTTGAATTGAGAAATATTTTTCGAAACATCGCCATTTCTAGGTCAACAGGAAGTCACCTACTAAGGATTGAATAAATCGGGCAATCTAATTGGATCATAAGAACGGCGGGAAAAAGTAAAGTTTTCAAAAGTTAGATTTGTCGTCCGGATCCGCCGGTGGATCCTGGCGGTAATTTTGAATGGGCGGACGCGGTCGCCGGTGGTCTGCTAAAGGTTCTTAAACATCTTAACTAAGTTGTAATATATTTGAAAAATTGATCTTGTTTTTCTTATATCTTCATTGTCATATTCAGTATTAATTTTCAAATATGGGTTATTTTCAAATCTTAATATTAAAGTCCAAAATAGATCAACAGACAGATGTGGATTCAATGATGTAAAACAAATATAACTTCAAGTATCTGATAACAAATTATAAGTCCAATAAACTTTTGAACTCTTCCCTTATCTGTCAGAGGAGTAAAATGCATTACAGGAATAATGTCAAAATTATCACTTATAGTGGATCAAATATTACATTGCACTTATTAAGTCAGAAAGACCACATTCAAACTCACAAGCCATTGAAACTATTATATCTAAGTTAAGCTTAAAACATGTTCTAAACTGACAAGCATTTACACATCAGAGAGAAACCCTGCTTCTTCCAACTTTTGATGTCAGTTTAATGTCATTTCCTAAACAGATGAACAAAGAGGGCAAAAGCCTACCTCTTTAGAGAGCCTTGTGAATAAGTCGCCCCCACGTAAGAACTGTAAGATGAGGTATAGTTTTCCCTCAGTCTGGAACGCTACAAAATAAACCAAAGTACACATCAACATAAATACGCAGTAGAGTATGTACAACAGTATTCAACATTTTTCCACTGACATATTTTTATTAATCAGGGAATCATTTGCAGAAAGTTAGAAATTGTTCTATGACATCATAATATCCATGATTACAATTGATTTTACAAATTCTTTACAAAGTTTCTGTTAGTGACCCCCTGGCTGGTAAAATATTACAATCACTTTGCTTCAGAAATATATTCAGGATGCAATATTTTTGTCAAAATAGCCAGAAAAGATAATCATGGCAACTGAATATCATTCCGGCAACTGAATATCATTCCAACTGGTGAATCACTCCCACTAATTATCATGGCAACTGGGTATCACAGTAACAGGTTATCATGGGAGCTGGTTATCATGGCAACTGGGTATCCCAGTAACAGGTTATCATGGGAGCTGGTTATCATGGCAACTGGGTATCCCAGTAACAGGTTATCATGGGAGCTGGTTATCATGGCAACTGGGTATCCCAGTAACAGGTTATCATGGGAGCTGGTTATCATGGCAACTGGGTATCACAGTAACAGGTTATCATGGGAGCTGGTTATCATGGCAACTGGGTCTCACAGTAACAGGTTATCATGGGAGCTGGTTATCATGGCAACTGGGTATCCCAGTAACAGGTTATCATGGGAGCTGGTTATCATGGCAACTGGGTATCCCAGTAACAGGTTACCATGGGAGCTGGTTATCATGGCAACTGGGTATCCCAGTAACAGGTTATCATGGGAGCTGGTTATCATGGCAAATGGGTATCCCAGTAACAGGTTATCATGGGAGCTGGTTATCATGGCAAATGGGTATCCCAGTAACAGATTATCATGGGAGCTGGTTATCATGGCAAATGGGTATCCCAGTAACAGGTTATCATGGGAGCTGGTTAACATGGCAACTGATCATCATGGTAGCTGGTTTTCATTCCAATTGGTTATCATGGGAACTGGTTGTCATTCCAACTGGTTGTCATTCCAACTGATTCTCATGGCTATAGATTTTCATGCTAACAAGTAGTGAATATTGGGAAAAGATGAGCTTGGCCTATGACCATGGTGGTAATATCTATAGGCTCTATCATTTCTTGAAACAAGTAGTTGCTGTTTTCAAAAGCATTAGATTAGTTGAGAGGGATTTGAGTAAAGCAGAACTGGGCTTGATATTGAGTTGTCAAAAAGCTGGCACTTACCATAGTGCAACTGTACAATGAAAGGATGGTTTATATCTGCCAGGATATCCCTTTCCATCTTTGTTCGTACTCTGTCTCTCACTAAAATGTAAAATATAAAGAATAATTTCATGTATTTGTATAGATGTTGTTATATGTTCTTATTATACATAAAGCATCAGTCCCATTTGCTCATCGGCGGCCATATGGTGGCTGTTTCTTCACAAAATCAATATAGAAAATCTACTATCTACTGCTTATCCCTGTATTTTATGCTGGATATTTCACTCTATTTTGGGAACCTACGTCTGCCGTATATTTGCCACAGATCAAATGTGACTGAGGAATTGGTAATCAACCTGAACAATACAATTTTTCTCAATAATTTTTCCAGGGATGAGCTTATATTCATAAACCGCATCAAAGTAACAAAGAACATGGTGAGCTCTTTAGAATGTTCTATAAAAATACCTCATTGTTTTCAGTACATTATGAGATAAGATATCAGATGCCTAAATTGATTTATCCTTTTTTCTTGATCATTTTTGCATTCCCTTTAAAGATCTGCAAATATCACAGAAATCATGAACATGGAGACATCTTTTAGTTGGGTTGCTTTCAAAAATAATATTTGTCGGGGAACTGTAATGTCATTAGTGACATACTGTCAAGGTAAAACATTGCATTTCCTTTTGTTGGTTTACCTTTCAAAACATCCAACTGTCCTCTTCATATCATTCATATATTTAGGAATAACATTGCTATAAGCTCAATATTAATGAAAAATGTTGAATGAAAGCTAAATGTTTTAAAATATAAATGTAATTTGAATGTATATTTACATTGTGGCTAATTGACATTTAACATTTCACTGATCTAATTTGGATGGTCTCCGTACAAGTCTTCATTTCCGCATAAGCATTCAGTGTTACAATTCATTTACACAGTAGCACTTAACTTTCCCGACATTAACAAACCGATGAGCTCCCTCGTGAAAACTCAAAAAACATTATATTATTGGCAAGCTAAATGTTTTAAAATATAAATGTAATTTGAATGTATATTTACATTGTGGCTAATTGACATTTAACATTTCACTGATCTAATTTGGATGGTCTCCGTACAAGTCTTCATTTCCGCATAAGCATTCAGTGTTACAATTCATTTACACAGTAGCACTTAACTTTCCCGACATTAACAAACCGATGAGCTCCCTCGTGAAAACTCAAAAAACATTATATTATTGGCAATTCAATATATGGAAAAAATTGAACTTGCAATCAATAAAGAAACTTTATACAGGCATGGTGGATCATACTCAAAAATATATGTAAATCTCACACTGTGATAGCTTGACAATGTTTTCTACAGTGGCCAGAATGTCCACAATGGTAGTCTTAGGTATTAGCTGACACATTCTTTTTATTTTTACCTGACATTATGTTCTTATATTTTGAATCTTTAAATAATTTCAGTGTTCAGAGCCATATTTTGATCCAAGTCGAGTTGAACTTGAACAATTATCAGCTAAGAGGGCGATGAAATATATTTCATTGCCACAGGAATGTTTACCTTTTAATGTAGCCTTTTTGAGTACTTTCATTGCGAAGAGTGTTCCAGTGTCTTTGCCTGTTATCTTTCTTACTAGGAATACCTGAAGAAACAAGAAACAGACGATGATCAATTTTGACAAATTTTGGTCTGAATTGTGAAAATGAGAATTTTGCATCCACTTGAGAAAAAATTGTGTAGAGAACATTTGCATGGCATTATAGAAAAAGCAAGTGGAATTTGATTACCCTGCTTCCCTAACCATTTGAGTTTGTCCATGCTTTAATGGGGTGAAACAAACAAAAAGATGGGGAGTGTGCTGATGAGACAGGAGCAGCTAATAACAACAAAAACCTCTATGGCAAGGTGCCACTATATCCAGCAGACACACTTCATCGTTTCAATTTACATAAACCTCTGAAAATGAGCTAAAGAAGTAGCTGCTATCCTATCACCTATGTAATGTGATAGACATTCTATCTATACATACAATTTATATGACATCTGAAAAGACTTATCATACTACAATTACAAACATCCTGTTCATATTGAAGTAATATTCCATATCAATGCCTTGTATACTGTACTTCTGTCTAATTTGGCAGCTAAATTAAGTAGCTGCCAAATGTACAAAATAGCAAATCTTCCAAATTTAGTAGAAGTGCAGTACATGGTTGCAAGAGATAGAGTCATACTTGAATTCTGAAATCAAAATGAGGACAAATTTCTTTAAAAAAACAGAGATATCAATCAGGTTTTTCATGCCAATTATGTGTTGGTTATTGCACAAGCGTTGTTCTTGTCAACTGGAAGCTTTGAACCTAAGCCAATATGATAATAATAAATATTTAATAGTATAAGAACATGATAGAAATGCGTCGGATCAAAATATTCATAACTATGATTTTAATCCTACAAGTGTATGATATTGATATGTGTGGAATATTTTTTTCATGTCACATCTTATGAATGCTAAACGTCATAAAGAATATATTAAATTGTTAAATGAAGATACAAACCTTTCCAAAGGAGCCCTGTCCTAATACCTTCAGCAGTTCAAAGTGTGATGGGTCGACCTTCTGGCCCTCTCTTGTTACGGACTTCACCTCAACCTCTGTCTCCATGACATCATTGTCATTCTGCAAATACAAAACATGACATCATTATCATTTTGCAACTATAAAACATGACACATTATTTGGCAGATATACAACATGACATCATTGCCATTCTGAAAATTAAAAAAAAAATTACGTTACCATTCTACAAATATGAAACATGACAATATATCATTTTGTAAATATAAAACATGACATCACTGTTATTTTGCAGATATATAACATATATTGTCATTGTTAAAATATGAAACATGACATCACTATCATTTTGTACTATAAAACATGACATCACTGTTATTTTGCAAGAATATAACATGACATCATTGCTATTCTGTAAATATAAAACATGACATTGTCTCTTTCTACAAATATAAAATATGGCACCATAGTCATTTTGAAAATATAAAATGTCATTCAAGTATTAGGCACATTTGCACTGAGAAACCTAGCTGACCCCATCAATGAATGAAACTAAGTCAGAAAGGTTTGAAGGCAACATGCTCTAAACATTTAGTTACATCAGAAAAAAATATGTACACATGTAACAAATACCAAAAATTGAAAAGGATTATTAGATAAGATAAGAATATCACATAGGATTGCACAGGTAAGTCTCAAATGAATAAAGGTTACGATAACTGTGTTTAAAATGGAAAACAGAGCATATGAGACACACTGTAACAATATATCACCTTTTAATCCCATTTCAGTTCATGCAACCTATTACTTAAAGATGAGCTAATCTCAAAGATTCAAAAAAATCTGGAAGCAATTCATGAAGTCATTAGTTTTAAAGGGAAAGTAGGAGACAATAACACTGTGACCCGTTTAATGGCTTATACTAGCATTTACACATAAACACTTATTATTATTTCTCTGTAGTGATAATCAGCATATGATTGGTCAGTCATGTACCATGTGACTAAAAATACCTCAAGGTATTCCATTCATGTACTGTATAAGCCATCGATATAAAAGGTGTATTTTTGAAAAAATAAATACAGGTATTCAACGAATGTGACATCACATGTTAAGGCTACTTTCATGTGTACTTTTATGTGGCGTTATTTATCCAATTTTTATTTTTGAGACACTATATAGTTAATAATAAAGTTACAGTGTTAATGGTGAAATAATAAAACACCCGGAGGGCTGCGTGGAATACACCCTCAGAAATATATGCAGGTATTGCACAAAAACAGAATTCAACATTTGTATAGTATTGTCTGTTAGATTTATAAAAGGAAGCGTATTTCACAAATTAGAATGAACAATTTGCTTATTACCTCTATATATTTATCTTGATACGAGATCTGCTGATAGCTTACTAATGTCACACTTTCCTCTATTTCACCTAAATATAGACGCTTAAACATCACCTTCATTATCTCAAACTATCTAGCAATATATCACCAAGGCAACCTTTGAATGTTTACTCAAATTATGTTTTCTGTCTGTCTTTGTTCTGGTTTCTACGGTAATATTGTCACTTCAAGATATATTACGTGAGTTATATTTTGATCTCTGGGTTTTCATCCCACGTATAAACATTGAAGTGATTTTGTGGTCTTTTTGGTCTTCTTCAGTAAATAATTGCTTGCAGTTTTTTTGTATATCCATGTCCTTTCAAAATAAGCCTATATACTATCTGATAGTTTTTCCTTTTTAATTGATCACTGACATTTTGTAATTCATTAGTAGATTGATTGCATTATTTCATTCCTACCCCCTGAGTAAGCTTATTTCCCTTAACAGTTGGTGACATTTTCCAGTTCAACATTCTTACATAAATATTTAAGGTGAGATTTAACTTGTAGTTGAATATAATCTAAATTTCATGAATTTCAAACATTTTTGGTTCTTCTATTGTTTAAACCATATGACGTGTCTGTCACCTCTTACAGGGGGAGGGGGCATCATACAAGTATGATGGGGTATAAAAATATGGAATATGAACATATAAGGATTTCAAAAATTGAGAAAATAACAGTCTTAAGGCCACATATACAAGACACACATATTGAAATCTAAAAATCATGGTTTAATTTAATTTGATAACTTTTCAAATGCAGATGAAATCTAGAGGCCTATAGAGATAACAATCGTGCAACATAACATGTAATGAATATTAGAAAAAAATATCTGGCATTATGTTCTATGATAAGGAAGACTTGATGAATCAACAAAAACAAAAAGCAAGATATTTTAAGTTGAAGTTTAAACCAGCTGATTATGTAACAGTGGTAGGTGATGATGAACTAAGATAACATATGACACTTGTATGTTTATTTCTCATTTAACATTCAATGGATTTGCTATCTGTATCAAAACATGTGTAAACAAGATTTGGAAAACTAACAAAAAGCCAACAAAGGTAGCCTACTTTAACTTCTATAATAACATACAGATCACGTGGGTGGATCCGGGAAATAACACAAAAAGTGGGGCTACATTTTTTTTTCCACCCAAGCCCCCCCCCCCCAGATCTGCCAGTGGATCAGATAGGCGAGATAAAAGGGAAATTCAAGGATTAAGGGGCGATTAAGAGGTGTCTTAATCATAAGTAACATAATGACTGAGAAATGTTTTCCTAAATTCTATCTCAGGATATTCAATGTAAGAGTATCAAAACTTTTAAAAATAGAATTTAATATCACATTTACAAGCTACTCCGTTAAATTGAAACTGAGGTACATAAACCAGGCTCAAGCATGATCTAATGATTCTGCCCTCTGTAAGGATTTTAGACCATATTGTTTAATAATATAATAACTCTCATACTATAATTTATCATACTGACCTGCTCTTTATTAAACCCCCATCGATTTTTCACACTCAATTGGAGCAAATAGTCCAACACTAGGCATACCCTTATAAAATCCATTCATTTGACTTCTGGGCTAAGAATTGATTGGGGCATACTGGACTAAGATTGGGGCATACTGGACTAAGATTGGGGCATACTGGACTAAGATTGGGGCGTACCGGACTTAGATTGGGGTGTACTGGACTAAGATTGTGGCAAACTGGACTAAGATTGGGGCATACTGGACTAAGATTGGGGCGTACTGGACTTTGATTAGGCCGTACTGGACTTAGATTGGGCCATACTGCATACTGGACTTAGATTAGGGCATACCGGACTTAGATTGGGGCATACTGGACTTAGATTGGGGTGTACTGGACTAAGATTGGGACGTACTGGACTTAGATTGGGGCATACTGGACTTACATTAGGCTGTACTGGACTTAGATTGGGGAGTACTGGACTTTGATTAGGCCGTTCTGGACTTAGATTGGGCCATACTGGACTTAGATTAGGGCATACTGGACTTAGATTGGGGCGTACCGTACTTAGATTGGGGTGTACTGGACTAAGATTGGGGCATACTGGACTAAGATTGGGGCATACTGGACTTAGATTGGGGTGTACTGGACTAAGATTGGGACGCACTGGACTTTGATTAGGCCATTCTGGACTTAGATTGGGGCATACTGGACTTACATTGGGCTGTACTGCACTTAGATTGGGGCGTACTGGACTTTGATTAGGCCGTACTGGGCTTAGATTTGGCCATACTGGACTTTGATTAGGCCGTACTGGACTTAGATTGGGCCATACTGGACTTAGATTAGGGCATACTGGACTTAGATTGGGGCATACCGGACTTAGATTGGGGTGTACTGGACTAAGATTGGGGCATACTGGACTAAGATTGGGGCATACTGGACTAAGATTGGGGCATACTGGACTTAGATTGGGGTGAACTGGACTTAGATTAGGGTGTACTGGACTAAGATTGGGACGTACTGGACTTTGATTAGGCCATTCTGGACTTAGATTGGGGCAAACTGGACTTAGATTGGGGCGTACTGGACTTTGATTAGGCCGTACTGGACTTACATTGGGCTGTACTGGACTTAAATTAGGACCTACTGGCCTTTGATTAGGCTGTACTGGACTTAGATTGGGGCATACTGGACTTTGATTAGGCCGTACTGCACTAAGATTGGGGCGTACTGGACTTAGATTGGGCCGTACTAGACTTAGACTGGACCGTACTGGACTTAGATTGGGCCATACTAGACTTAGATTGGGGCGTACTGGACCTTGATTAAGCTGTACTAGACTTAGATTTGGGCGTACTGGACTTAGATTAGGGTGTACTAGACTTTGATTAGGCCGTATCGAACTTAGATTTGGGTGTACTGGACTTTGATTAGGCTGTACTAGACTTAGACTGGGCGTACTGGACTTTGATTAGGCCGTACTGGACTTAAATTAGGCTGTACTAGACTTAGATTAGGCAGTACTGGACTTAGATTGGGGCATACTGGACTTAGATTAGGGCGTACTGGACTTTGATTAGGCCGTACTGGACTTAAGATTTGAGCGTACTTGACTTAGATTGGGCTGTACTGGGCAAAAAATTGCAACATTGGTAACATTAGGGAGGGTGTTAATGGTATGAGGTTCATCATGGAAAAGTACCATGAAGGTCAAAGCCTAGCATATTTTGGAATTAAAACTCTCTTACAAAGTAAAAATTAGAAAACAGCAACTCTACAAAGTAGCCTATAATCGGATCTGTCAACCAGTCTCAGAACTATATCTCTGACAGAGGGACAGACAGATGGATGGACAGAGGGCTTCTCTATATATTTCTCCAACTTCACTCAGTATAATAAAATCAAACTACTCTACCAGACTGCAAGGGTAATGAAAAAGTCAAGCATTATTCAAATATTCATTTCAGATAGAAGTTTGGCTTTGAATCTTAAAGCAAGAATGATGTAGTGTGTGGGAGTTAATGGTTACTATTTGTGACATAGGGTAATAACAAGAGTCATTAAAAGTACACTGTAGGAGATGTTTATTCCTATGTGTATAAATAGAGGTTCCTTAATGGGATCATCAATTACCTATTTATTCCATAATATTTTTTCTGAAACTTATTTATTTAGATGTTTAATAGGTCAGCGAAGTTGATATTAAACGGATACAATTCAAACTATCCCAT